TTTGAGAACAAAATACCGAAGGCAATATCGACCCTATAATTCACTTATTTGACCAGATCTTGAGATGGTAGAGAAAAAAGCATCTTACTAATACCATCATTCAGAAACAAACCATAAAGAAGAATGACTTAAGTGCTCAGCATTTTTTCCTCTTAGGAAACGGAGACTCGGAAATCTCATTCAAAGCTTTAAAATACTGACTCAAACACAACGAACTAATGTAGACCCGGTCACTGCATTCAGGTAGTTATGTTGGGGGATTACCCATCCATAAACACTTCACAAGTCTTCAAACAACATTTATACCCATTGCAGACTTCGAGAATATGCAGAGAACTTTCACTGCACGTAAAAGTACAATAAAGCACCTCAATTATTGCGAACGGTTGAAATCCTTTGACATATACTCCTTGGAACGCAGGCGAGAGAGGTATATCATAATAAACACTTGGAATAAAAATAAAAGGCACAATACTGTGACTGGAACGATACACAAATAACCCGCACATAGAAGAGAGGAGCTTACGACGACGTTTTGGTCCGGCTCGGACCATTTACAAAGTCGTAAGCTCTTCTCTTCTATGTGCGGGTTATTTGTATACACTTGGAAAATCCTAGAGGACTAGTCTCAAATGGTCACACGGAAATCACTCGCTATGAAAGCAAAAGACGACAGGCGGTGCAGCATTTCCCCCCAATGGAAAGAATACATTAACAGAACACATTAAGTGTCAGGGGCCCAAAACTGTTCAAGTGCCTCCCAGCATACATAAAGAGGGTTACCAATAGACCCCTAGGTCTCTTCAAGAGGGAGCTGGACAAGAACCTAAAGTCGGTACATGATAAGCCGGGTTGTGGTATGTACATCTACTATCCCAGTATTTATAAGAACTGCCATTTTTGAGTTCTACCCATTTAGGTGAAAATCATTAATATATAATAAATTTGTCTACTGAAATAACATATATTGGTGTTTGGCTTATCCTGGAGTTGCTTACTTAATCTAAGGTACAAAGATTTATTTTTAACGGTAAACAGAATGACAAATCTTTAATGATAGCTAATGACACTTGGTGATTAGTTCTAAATGTTGTCTATCATATAATCAGTTATTGATTCCTTCTGTCCTTGGATAGTATACTAACGGCGACTAAGGTCCAGAGATAAAGGGGTGCAGGATCATTAGAAGGATAAGTAAAGCAGCACACTGCTGATGTATCCAAACTACCTAAACGTTTCATAGTGGAAATAATAGTTATGTTTGCCTGTCATAAGACACCACAACGTAAATTTAATTCTTCATTACAAGTCTATGAGAATGAGTTCAGAAACTTTATGAAGACAATGAGGGCGTCGTCCAGCAGTTACAGAAGTTTCCAAGGGTATTGTTCCAGCAAAACTGGAATCCTGGTATCTTAACCAGTTTGGCTTTTGATGCTAATGTAACGTAACCAAACAGAGAATATCAAATAACCTAACCTAGCCTATATTAAATGTTAGGTAGGGTAGAGAGCACGCTCTCTGAAGAACACATCTGGTTTAATTTTTTTGGCATTACAATAGTTTGTATTTGTGCAACACTGCTGCATTCATGCGACACTATGGTATTCGTGCAACACTGTTGTACTCACATGACACACTATTCTTGCCACAATGTTGTGATCACAGTGAAGAGTTAGCGGGTGATGAGTTAACAATGGCGGCTTGAGCAGTTGCTGGAGTAATTTATTGCAAGTATTCGTCTTCACGTTCTGCCACAAGACTGTATCAATTGATGAGGTAGACAGTGAGGCGAGACTCCCACCCATGTCACACCCCATCACTCACGTTGCCCAGTCAACCACGTCAGAGTCCTGATCCACCGGGAGGCCTGGTCTCGGACCGGGCCGCGGGGGCGTTGACCCCCCGGAACACCCTCCAATTATAGTTAATTGGAATGCCCCCCCCACACACACCGTCACTGTGTGGACCGAGGAAGCTAAAGCTCAAGACTTAAAGGTATAAATGGTTATAACTATAACCTTAATTTTTAAAAGCGTGGACCGAAGCCAGTGGAAGGCCTCGGTCAGATAACCAAACGCTCCAGCTGCGGGTCATCATATGACACACTCGCATCAGGAAACGCTTGCTCTTTTTCCTGACGAATCTTACTTATTCTAACGTCAAGACTTTCCGTCAGAATCAACCCATACAAACTCACACATTAAAGACATTTTGAAATCTCAAAAATTATGTAACTGTAGCGCTGGAATATCTTCATTGGCCATAGATGGTCTGTACAAGGTATACAGTCCTAGCTGACATCAGTGACATACTACTATATACAAACCCACTTGTTATCAGAGCATTTCGGGCAAATTGGGTCAATTTTGTCCCAGGATGCGACCCATATCAGTCGACTAATACCCGGGTACCCATTATTACTGATGGGTGAACAGGGACAAATGGTGTAAGGAAATACGCCCAATGTTTCCACTCCTTCGTCGGGAATTAAACCCGGACACTTCCCCCCCCCCTCACTGTGTGAAGCGAAAACTTTTGCTACCAGGTCACGGGGCACCGTAATGGTGAAATGCCGAAAAAAAAAAGATCACAACGGATGTTAGGTTTGAAAATAAATGTGTTGTGATGGTGTCCGCACCTGAGGAAAAAAACAGACAAGCTGACAACCTGGCAAGCTGACAACCTGGCAAGCTGGACAGATTTGCAAGATGAGTAACATAATAACTCCCAAAGTTGGAAAATTGTGTTATAAATACTGGACACTCACTGTGTACTGACCTGTCTGTACTCTATGTGGTTACAGAAGTCGAGTCACAGTTCCTGGCCTCGCCACTTCGCTAGTCGCTACTAGGTCACTCTCTCCCCTCCCCAAGGGCCTTATCATACCTCTTCTTAAAGCTGTGTAGTGATCCTGTCTCCACTACATCACTCTCCAAATTGTCCCACTTCCTGACAACTCTGTGACTTAAGAAATACTTCCTAACATCCCTGTAACTCATCTGAGTTTTCAACCTCCAGCTATGACTCCTTGTTGCTGTGTCCCATCTCTAAAACATTCTGTCCCAATCCACCTTGCCAATATCTCTCAGTATTTTACATGTCTTTATCATGTCCTCCCTATCCCTCCTGTTATCCAGTGTCGTTAGGTTGATTTCTCGTAACCTCTCCTCGTAGGGCATATTCTTAACTCCGGGACTAGTTTTGTTTCAAACCTTTGCATCTTCTTTAATTTTTTGATGGGTTTGACTAGGTGTGGGTTGTATATTAGTGCTGCATACTCCAATATGGGCCTAACGTACACGGTGTACAGTATCTTGAATGATTCCTTTCTTATATGTCGAAACACTATTTTCATGTTTGCCAGGCACCTATATGCTGCAGCAGTTATTTGGTTGATGTGCGCTCAAGAGATGTACTCGGTATGGTGCTCACCCCAAGATCCTTTTACTTGAGTTTTGCAGCGTTTGACCTACTAGGCTGTACTCTATCTGCGGTCTTCTTTGTTCTTCCCCAAACTTGTTGGGGTTAAACTCCAGGAAACATTTATCGGATCATGCTTGCAGTCTGTCAAAATCTCTTTGTAGGCTTACCTGATCCTCGTCGACTTGTATTGTCCTCATTAGCTTCACATCGTCTGCGAACACATACACCACTGAATCTATCCCTTCTGTCATGGAGCTAGGACTGACCCTTGTGGAAGCAACACTCGACACATGCACCCACTAACACCTCGTCCCGTACCAACACACGTTGTTTCCTTCCTGTCAGGTGTTCCCTGATCCCTACTTTTGTAGCTTTTTAGTCTCTTGTGTGGTACTGTGTCGAAAGTCTTTTTACAGTCTAAGATACCGTCTACCCATCCCTCTCTTTCTCGTGTGTGTGTGTGTGTGTGTGTGTGTGTGTGTGTGTGTGTGTGTGTGTGTGGTGTGTTTTGTTTTGTGTGTGTGTGTGTCCTATTGTCTGTGTTGTCTGTGGTGTTCTGTCTTTGTTTCACTCATGGGGAAAGTCATAGTGAACCTGGGGAATGGAAAGCAATCACATTTGCACCGAGGAAGAGCAAAGTAGCTCCAATTCCTTGAATCAACACCTCTTCACCACCTTCAAGACGTCCCTCTTTCCTCGAAGGGCAGAAACGCTCCAGGTAACCCGGAAAAGCAAATGAGCTTTGCTTTCCCGGTGCGTCTTGTACCTGGTGGCAACCTCGGCCAAGTAAGCTAGAGGGGCTTCACTTGTGTATTACTCTGGCTTCCCATGTCGTCTACACTCAGCTATTGCATCACCCACACCATTATTAATGCTAGATGAGCAACGCTCTCATTGCACTTCTCCATAAAAATAATAATAAATAGCGATCTTTAAAAACCACACGGGTTTAGCGCTTTATGAAATATATATTTCTAGGCCCCTGCGCAATTCGAGATAAGTATTACCCATTTTGCATAACCCCAGCCCCCTCTACTTCCATGCAAGACTAGTACAGGATGCGATTTAAGTTTTAATCACCTGTTCATCCATGAACCCTGAAAAATAAAACAAGGGTTAACGCTGCACTGAACAATATGTACATTAACCCACAATCTAGTCAACTCTACTGCACTCAGCGTATTAACATAATTCTTACCAAATCAGTATAGTTCCGCGTTGTTAAGTCTGCCCTTTAGTGGACGGTGACGCATTTAAAAACCCGTTTAGCATAAAAAAAATAGTTATAACGGATAGCAAATAATAGCCTTAAGTTATCCTCTTTTTTCTTCCTTCTAATTTATATAAAAGAAAGTCAAGTATCTGTAGTATAACATTTACAAAAGGCCCAGGAGTTGTAAATGAATATCTTTCAGAGAGCCAGAAAATGGAACTTATCCCAGTAACAGTGAAAATATTTATACAGTAATACACTCAGGATCGTTCCTTATATTTGTATATCTGAGAAAATATCACAGATAGCGCCATCATCTTCATTATGGATTTGTCACAGAGATAACGTTATCATACAAAATCAATGTGAGCTCCAGTAGTGATCCCCACCAGCGCTAGTGTCACTTTTATGGCCACTACCCTCACTTTTGAAACACCAATATTATCTCTTATAAGCTCTACTGGTATCATATAACCAGCAGCGCTACCAGCACCATCACAACCACCACCAGCTTTCACCAGCACTCCTCACAGAAACCAGCATCAGTATCATCACCGGCGACTGTGACGACACAACAAAATCCCCTGGCATGGGATACCACAAGCTACTGTTGCTGTTGTTGCTCCTGGCGAAAACTTCCTCTTCAGGGCCAGTACTTGGTGACCAAGTGGAAGAACTACAATCACTTGCTATTGACCAAATGAACGAAACAAAACCACTTTCTGGGAACCAGGTAGATGAAACAAGCTCAGTTTCTGAGAGACTGGTAGATGAAGCTAGCTCACTTCTTGGAAGCCAGGAAGACGAATCAAGATCCCTTCCAGGGAGCCAATTAGCTGAAACGAAATTACCTCTTGGGAAAAAGATAGGTGAAACTCAATCACGTGACAGTAACCAGTTAGAGGGAAGAGTGACTCCTGTCGATGATGTGGGCTCCGACACCCAGGAATCTGTGGAGTACACAGCAGCGGTGTTGGAGTACGAGCCTTACAGCAGCTGGGAATCAGGGGGTCTTGCCCTCCTGCAGAAGAACGCCCACAACTACGTTCACTACGCAACCTTGGCCAAGGAACAGGTCAGCCCAAAATATATTTACTTCCCATGACTTTTTTTTATCTATATTTTCCATCAGTATTTTTCACATCAATGTTTTTATTATAAATGATATTAACATTATTATTATTATTGTTACTATTATTATTATTTTGAATGGTTTCAGTAAATCACCATATCTGTCAATCACACCAGTAATCTGGCAGATAACTGCATCACGTGTCTGTCTCATCATGTGTCAGAGAGAGAGAAAGTGTGTTAGTTACCATTTGGTCCTAGGCACATATCGATTAGACACTAGGCCTGTTGTATGTGCATGCGTGTGTGTGTGTGTGTGTGTGTGTGTGTGTGTGTGTTGTGTGTGTGTTGTTGTGTGTGGTCTGCGTGTGTGTCTGTGTGTGTGTGTGTGTCTGCGTGTGTTGTGTGTGTGTGTGTGTGTGTGTGTGTGTTGTGTGTGTGTGTGTGTCTGTGTCTGTGTGTGTTGTGAGTGTGTCTGTATGTCTGTGTGTCTGTTAGTGCCATTTGGTCCTAGGCACCATGTCAATTAGCACACTAGGCCTGTTGTAATTGCTGCATGTGTAATGTATGTGTGTGATGTGTGTCTCTGTATGTGTATGGTTGTGTGTGTGTGTGTGTAATGTGTGTGTGTTGTGTGTGTATTATAGTCCCATCGTGTAGCACATTGGGTTACAAGGTTAACCCTATCAACTTACACACGCAGCCTTATACACACAGTCATACACTCCATACAATTTCATATCTCCTCGTAGATACTATCTTTTAATGGTAGGACTCTTATCAGCCTCTTGTAATATTTGTATAACGTATAGACTAATACTATCCTTTCTGTTTCAGTTAACAGTAAATTTTGTTGTATTCATGCAATGAATACAACAGCTATTATTTTTTCTTCAGTTTATTGTCGTAACCTGAGAGCTAAATTTCAAATTAATATTTCCTATTTTTTTATGATATTCAATACATGGCTAAATCACAGAATAGGTTCATCTGTTAGTAAATTATTTATTAATTCTTACTGTAATGAAACTTTTGTTTCGTGTCTCACGATTGTAAACAACTCGCGGTACTTGTGGGGTTAGAACCCATGTATGAGAATTATAGCGGCCCAAGAAGGGTATTACCATGTCATTCCCTTAGATCAGCAATTCTTAAAAGTTGAGGCGATAAGACTAATACTGGCTTGCAACATGTCACATAACATCCCTTCTTCTTCCCTTTAAAAAATAACGGAGTTAAGAGAATCCACGATTGCCTAAATTCTTGTGTTATATTTGTTCCCACCTATTTAATAGACAAATCCCTAAATACACCGAAGCCTGATAATATTAGGAGCAATTTCCTTTACACAACACACACACACACACACACACCACACACACACACACACACACACACACACACACACACACAAAATCACACACACACACAATCACACAGTGAAAATTGTCTTTTTTTTTTTTTAAATCACGTTCTCTCCATAATATCCCGAACGCCATTCAAAATCGAGCTATACTGCACTTCAACACCTACGCTTTTCCCAGGTTCAGTCCCAGGAACACTCAATCTCCGACCCTAACTTTCTCCTAACACAGGCTGAGAAAATAAGCCAGCCCAAAAGAGCGAGTCTAGGCTCTCCGACCCTAACTTTCTCCTAACACAGGCTGAGAAAATAAGCCAGCCCAAAAGAGAGAGTCTAGGCTCACCAAGACATCCATGGGTCTGCCTTGGTCACACAAAATACACTCCAGGTTACACAACACTTCCCATTCCTAAACGACCTCCCATCCTCATTATCCAACCACATTTCCCTTCTCTTGCAATCAAAACACACAATCTGTATAAATTTCGAAATTTCACAATATATTTTAATATTCTTCTTACAACACAAACAAAAAATAAAGTTATAATATAACAAACAATTAAACAGCCCAGAGAAGTGAGCATCACCTGCAGAAAGTCACTAGACAACAAAATTAAAAACCAAAATATAAATGAATAGAATAAAATGAATACAATAAAATTAATAAAGTAAACATGAATAAAATATATATATATTTAGTTTTAATTAGATGCTCGAAAGATCATATTACATTTTAATTAATTTTTATTTACCAAAAGAAGTATATAAGTATTTTCTTTCTCACTTAAGCAAGCTTTTCTTTGCCTTAATACAGAGACACACACAAATATCTTCGTCTTTATCAACCCAAAACAAAGCAGGTCTCAGCACACGGCAGTAAACAGGAAGATCAAAGGACCTTCAACGGAATAGTCAACTAATTCTAAAGTATCTGTAGCGCTGTATGATTTACAGGTTTAGCGCTTGTTTTAAATAATAAAAATCTAGGTAGCTATCTACCGCTAGGTAGCAGACAGCGGTATTTCTTACTCTACTGGTACACAGGGAGCAGCCATAATGATGCTTCTTACTCTACTGGTACACAGGGAGCAGATATAATGGTTTTCCCGGAATACGGCTTGAGCAGCACAGACGTGAGTGGTGGGGAGTTTCTCTCCCTGACCCAGCTCGTGCCTCACCCTGCTGACCACGTGCTGCCCTGCCACCTCCCTGACAACAACTTCACCCAAGTATGTTCAGTCTTAAGGTTTTAACTTTATCTACCCTCCATCTTAATCAGATAAAATGCCAATCAACTTATATTTTCAAGATATGTAAAATTATGTATAATGCAGAGACGTCTTTATTAGGGATAGGACGAAGCCAATTTTTTTCCTATACTAATACTCAGTTTACGGCTGATACTGATGATTATTAATAATATTTCTACATGTACAACGTATGCCGACATAATTCTCCTATATCTTTTATTTTTAAAACTATCATGACTATGTTCAGTATATTAGGAAATGGTTATTGCACAGTGTTTATTAAATAACTTTATTTGTCTGAGATAGTTATGTTATTATTCATTACTTGGTCTGTTTTAGTTACTGGTTATCAAATGCACTTGTCGATTGTGTATGTGTGTGTGTGTGTGTGTGTGTGTGTGTGTGTGTGTGTGCGTGTGTGGTGTGTGCGTGTGTGTGTGTGTGTGTGTGTGTGTGTGTAAAACTCTTAGAATCGTGAGGTAGAGTACTAATGCTGATATTTTAAGCAAACATATATCGTTGGTATCGGTTTTTTAACCGATACAGTAAAAATGGCCTACACCGATACTTTGCCAAATCCCTAGTCTCTATACTTTTTTATATGCGAATATTCTGGACATCATATTTATTGAACAAGATTTTTTTTTCCAAAATAATGTCCAAGTGGACCAAAAGGTTACCATGGAAACTTACGGTGACAACAGCCATGTGGAACTAACTTGCGGCGACACAATACCGAATAAGTTCTCACAATAATACTTCTCACGTTATTATTTTGCTCTTGAGGTGACTAGCTACCTCTTCGTTGTCATGTCAGGGCTGACATGAGCAAGAGTGAGTGAACGAGTGTAGTATGCTTTTTATATTCTGATAAGAATATCTTTTTTGAGGTGAATGCACTGTGAGCAAAAATGTACACGTGGAGGGGTGTACAGTGCATCACTCCAGTACACACAGTACACTTTCATCCCCACAGGCCTGTATTTAGGCTTACCGTATTCTTCACTGGTAGTGAATCGGTTACATGGTGCTTGTATGGTTATATATAGTCACCTATTTGTGGTTGCAGGGGTCGATTCATAGCTCCTGGCCCTACCTCTTCACTGATCGCTATTAGGTCCTCTCTCTCCCTGCTCCATGAGCTTTATCAAACCTCGTCTTAAAACTATGTATGGTTCCTGCCTCCACTCCGTCACTTGCTGGACTTTTCCACTTCCTGACAACTCTATGACTAAAGAAATACTTCCTCACTTCCCTTTGACTCATCCGAGTCTTGTTTGTGTGTGTGTGTGTGTGTGTGTGTGTGTGTGAGAGAGAGAGAGAGAGAGAGAGTGAGTGAGTTAGGAGGGAGGGCAAGAGTCTTGGGTAGGAAGGAAGGGAGGAGGTTATACCCACCACTGGCGAGACTGGGAGGAACTATAACCTTGATAATGAGAAGGATACAAGGTCATGCACCTCCTGTGGCTGGGTGTGCACAAAAGAGGCAGCAGTAAGCATTTTCTGTCTGGCTCGCAGTATTAACACGCAATAGAAGGAAGAGCAGGTGTAAAGATAATGTTTGGTGGACATTCACTGATCTTGTGGTCAACGTGGCAATACAGTCTTAAAGCACATCAAGAGTGTGTTAATAAGACACACAATGCAGTTCATGCCATTTTATTGTGAAGACGTTTCGCCCACCAGGCACTTTATTAAGACCTTTATATTAAAATGTCATTACCCTCATCGTGTCATATTTGCAAACTGGTCGTCATGACCACACTGACGGACCAGCAATACTGACATACACAGACCTGGTCGTCATGACCACACTCACGGATCATCACCACAGATACACAGACCTGGTCGTCATGACTGCACTTTCGGACCAGCATTAGTATTAAATTCTTGTAAAACAAAACAAAAAAATTCTTATTGGGATTTTTTTTATCTTAAGGATTTAATCACCAAAATTTTCCAGGTTTTTGACCCCGAAAGAATGATGGGGAAAAGTTACAATATTTATACGAGTCTAAGAATAATATATATATTTACTATTTAGGTATCAAACGTAATGTTTAATCCTTAACATAGCAACAACAATAGACTATGTTTCTGTCATCTGAGTACGTAAATCATTTATGTAAATAACTTACAGTTGCGTGTCAGCAGTAACAGTTTGAGAGTTACGTGATATATTACCACTTAACTGTCTTATGTGAGCTTCTTCGTAAACGAGAAGCTACCTGGAGGGTATTCTGGGGATCAACGCCCTCGTGACCCGGGCCATGATCAGGCTTCCTGGTGGATCAGGGCCTAATTAACAAGGCTTTTACTGTTGGCCGCACGTAGTCCAACGTACGAACCACAGCCCGGCTGATCCGGCACTGACTTTAGGTATCTGTCCAGCTCTCTCTTGAAGACAACCAGGGATCTATTGGCAATTCTCCTTATGGCTGGTGGGAGGCTGTTGAATAGTCTTGGTCCCCGGACACTTATTGTGTTTTCTGTTAGTGTACTAATGGTGCCCCTACTTTTCACTGGGGGAAGAGTCCTCGTAGTCCCCTCTCCATCATGGAATAATCTCAGTGATTAAGAGAATGTACAATACTTTGTAGGCATTAGTCACTCTTTAAACTGAAGTAAGTTTGCATTAGATATCTATGCATGTTAATGAACTGAGTGCCAAGGCTTTGCCAAGATGTTGTAGAGATGCAGCGCCTCCAGTACACTGCAGCCCAAGTACTGGAGCCCAGGCCCACAGTATTTCATCATATCCCGAGTGTGTGTTTGTGTGTATGTGTGTGTGTGTATGGTGTGCTTCACTGCGTGCTACGTACGAGTATGTATGTGCATCCCTCATGACAATATCATTGGGGTGTTAACATGAAGATATGGATGTACAGATAATGCGTGACCTAAGCTGCTGTGCTAGAGACCTGGGGATGTACCTAGTAGTGGACCTTATCGAACAAGAGCCAAACACGGACGTCACCACACAACCCGACACCCACAACAATGACAGTGGAGTGGGGCGTAGAGGACGCAACCAGAATTCACTTTTTCAACATAAAATTCCTGGAGAACAGTTGTCATCGCTGGAAAACGGTAAAGACAAAGCTGAAAAGCAACTGAACGAGTGTACTGTCTCTGGCTACAGCTTCTACAACAACCCAGGTTGTCTTTGATCGTTCAGGTGTAGTTATATCCAGGTAAGTTGTGATTTTTAACATATAATTAACATTACAAGAAGCTTTGATAGGTAATGGCTTGAACACCCGGCGTGATTCAAATACACTTTAGACAAAGAGAATCTAGTATAAGAAGTTTCACCTCAGTGGTTCTTTATCAAGTATTCCATAAGTCCTCCGTCAGTGAAGAGTCTAAAAAATTATGATAAACTACCTTTGATTATACTCGTAGGCTTACGCTGTTGTCCCTCAACATCTGGTTATTAAATTCGAGTGAGGAGAGGCAATTTTTTTTTTTTTTTGGTTTGGGGGGAGAACTTAACATGTTGTTGGAGTGAAAGCATGGTTAATATTATTATATTTAGGGGGGAAAGAGATAAACCCATAAGATCATTCAACGCCTAAGGAATGGGAAGGATTCAGGTTTGATTCAAGGAAACTGAGGGTAATTCCATTTCTCTTGATCAAGGACATTTCAGCGACATCTAGACAGCGCCCTTGATGGGACTGAGCATGGTAATATCTATGAAAATTGAGAAAAAAACAGGTTTGTTGTATTTTCATTTTGGAGGTCTTTTGGGGATATTACGATTCAGTGGCTCGTCGGACTAGAGAAAAATAGATAGGGAGCAGTAGATTATTAATATATTTTCTTTGGGTCACACAGGTTTGATGAGAAAAGCCAATGTGGAAAAAAAATTCCTTATTAGAACCTGCCCGGTACAGGCCAGTAGGCCTACCACAGTGTTCCTTTATTCAAATTTACATTTGCTGAGTATTATCAGGCCGTTTTTATATTAAAACCAAAATTATGAGTCTCTGGGAACATAGAGACGGGTTTTAATGTAAGGCAATCCTTTGAAATTATATATTTGTTTTACAGAGAGAGAGAAAGAAAGAGAGAGAGAGAGAGAGAGAGAGAGAGAGAGAGAGAGAGAGAGAGAGAGAGAGAGAGAAAGAACGGCCTGGTACAGAATGAACAACTCCTGGGAATAAGGAGGCGACAAGAGTGCTTATACCGTGTTTTTTTTAATTATTGTTTTATCCTATACCGAAGGTATCGCAAGAAACACCTGTTTCTGGAGCCGGAGTTCACGCCAGGGACGGATGATGATGATGTAGCTATTTTCACCACAGACTTTGGCGTCACCTTCACTCTTCAGGTACCAAGAATGTAATTTACTTTACCCTTTAGCACAGAACACCACTTGCATTGCAGGACAAGCTGATCAGTCTCTCACAAACGGATCTAGGATTTGTATACCTACACAAAAAAGAACTAGGACTGAAAACAAGAGTGGATAGACAGTTGAGAGATTTGAAGAGAGCTTTGAACGGGTAGATTATTCAGCGCATCTTGGCAATAACTATGACATAAAACACACACACAAGAGCACCTTCAAACAGATACCAATGGGTAAGTGAAAAAAAAGACCAGATTCACGCTACGCAGATCCCACTCTCACCCATTCCCCACACACACGTCTGCCCAACCCATTTTCAAGCTACCCCTAATAGGCTCAAAATGGTTATTTCCTCCATTCATTAACAACTATAACCAAACCAGTACTTTCAAATATGATTTTTAAAATCGGATTCTTATTGAACTTGGCTCAGCTGTAACTTGTACCTTGGACAGACACACAAACAACACTTCATAACTAATTCAGTATTTTTTCAGTGTTTTTTTTTTTTACATGGTGGTATTACCTGTTTACTGTGATTATGCTGTGCATATATATATATATATATCGTGCCGAATAAGTAAAATTGGTCAACTAGCAAGAACTCGTTTAAAATTAAGGCCTTTCTAAAATTTTCTCTTATTTGTTTAAAGATGTATATTTTTAATTTATGGTAATGTAAAAATTAATAATTTTGTACCAAAAGAACGTTAGAAAACTTACGTAGCCTTATTGTAACAAGCGCAATTTAATTTAAGTAATCCAACTTAATATATTTTATACAAGTCTACAATAATTTAATAATGAACAAGCACAATGAAATATATTTTTTTTCGTTAGGTTCAGAATGATTTTTGCGAAATTACTGCATACACAAATTTTCGCTTGCCTTATTCAGCAAGAAATTTGATTTGCATTTATTTAACATGTATATATATATATATATATATATATATATATATATATATATATATATATATATATATATATATATATATATGTCGTGCCTAATAGGCAGAACTTGCGATCTTGGCTTAAATAGCAACGCTCTCTTGCCATATAGGACAAGTGAAAATTTGTGTATGCAGTAATTTCGCCAAAATCATTCTGAACCTAACGAAAAAAATATAATTCAGTGTTTGTTTAGTATTAAATTATTGTAAACAAATCTAAAATATATTTAGTTGGGTTAGGCTAAAATAAATTGTTCTTGTTATAATAAGGTTAGGTAAGTTTTTTAAGATTCTTTTGGAGCAAAATTAAAAAAATTACATTAACATTAATGAAAAATATATATCTTTAAACGTATAGAGAAAATTTTAGAAGGTCTTAATTTTAAATGAGTTCTTGCTAATTGACCAGTTTTACATATTCGGCACGACATTATATATATATATATATTCGTGCCGAAATGTAAAACTGGTCAATTAGCAAGAACTCATTTAAAATTAAGTCTTTCTACAGATTTCTCTATACGTTTAAAGATATATTTTTTCGTTAATGTTAATGTAAAAAATTTTAATTTTGCTCCAAAAGATCTTAGAAAACTTACCTAACCTTATTATAAAAGAACAATTTATTTTAGCCTAACCTAACTAAATATATTTTAGATTTGTTTATAATAATTTAATACTAAACAAGCACAGTGAAATATATTTTTTTCGTTAGGTTCAGAATGATTTTGGCGAAATTATTGCATACACAAATTTTCACTTGCCCTTTATATGGCAAGATGACGTTGCTATTTAAGCCAAGATCGCAAGTTCTGCCTATTCGGCACGACATATATATATATAATATATATATATATATAATTTATATATATATATATATATATATATATATATATATATATATAATATATTATATATATATATTATATATATATATATATATGGGAAGACATTACAAACGAGTGATTGCAAATATGTAAATCTACATATATACATGTATGTATGGGTTGTGGGAGGGGAGGAAGAGAGAATAGTAGTTAGTACAACGCTGTCACAACCCGGTAATCCCAATTTCTGTATAATAAGTATTTTGTATGAAGTTTGGTTAATTGAAAACCTCCCTGATTTTGGGCAAATGGTGAGGTAGTGATTAAAAGCGGAGTCCAGGCACTTCCTCCTGCACCATGTGCTATGTCATGAAGACTGGGGAAGATCAAAGAAGACCGCATACAGAGTACAGGCTAGGGGGACAAAGACTGCAAACCTCACTCATGGAAAAGGATCTTGGAGTGAGTATAGTACCAAGCATATCTCCGGAGGCACACATCAACCAAATAACTGCTACAGCATATGGGCGCCTGGCAAACCTAAGAATAGCGTTTCGACACGTTAGTAAAGAATCGTTCAAGACACTGTACACCGTGTACATCAGGCCCATAATGGAGTATGCAGCGCCATTATGGAACCCATACCTGGTCAAGCACGTCAAGAAATTAGACTAGTCCCGGAGCTAAGGGGTATGTCCTACCAGGAGAAGTTAAAGGAAATCGACCTGAGAGGACATGATAACATATAAAATACTGAGAAGAATAGGACAGGATGTTTCAGAGATGGGACAAAGGAAGAAGGGACCACAACTGGGAGTTGAAGTCTCAGAAGAGTCACAAGGATGTTAGGAAGTATTTCTTCAGTCAGGGAGTTGTCAGGAAGTGGAATAGTCTGGAGAGTGACGTAGTGGAGGCAGGATCCATACAAAGCTTTAAGAAGAGGCATGATAAAGCTCATTGAGCAGGAAGAGAGAGACCTAGTAGCGACCAGGGAATAAGCGGGGCCAGGAGTTATAACTCGACCCCTGCAACCACATTTATGCAAGTACAATTAGACAAGTAGACACACACAACAGGCCAAGTGTCAAATCGACAAGTGCCTATGACAAAATGGTAACTAAAACACACACACACACAATGCCTTGGAAGCTTACAGTAAATATCACGGGGACATGTAGGAAAGATAATAATGAGAAGAGGATAGATGAAATAGTACAATATTGAAATAGAATTCTATGTCATAAAGAACTTCAATACTGTGTATTCTAAATTGTTTCTAAGATATCGAAAACATTACATTTTTCTGCAACTGTTCCCGAGCAGTCAAGGCTGGAGTGCCTACGTTGAGCTGCCTCCTACAAGCGCTGTTTTCCCTTCTTAGGTGTGTACTAAACTTCCTCAGGCTTGTTGCAAACGCCATCCTGTGTATGCACATCCAGGAATCTAGGTCTAAGACCGAGTCGTGGATACCAAGAACTATCACAGCTGGTAGTGGTCTTTTTATTCGTGAGAAAAGTGGCGTGAATCTGTCTCAGATAATAACCCTCTCAGTGATTATACAACCGTTGGATTCCTGATGCTGTATACCCAGATTTTTCACCCCTTTAAATCTGATTGCATGCATCCACCATAACATGGCTGATTTGGCCCTTATAAAAGAAAGTAATCCTGTGTGTTATATTTTCCGAAATGTTCATATGTTCAGTTTTAGTAACAGCTGAGCGCAAGCTAAACTCCTTTCTTACAGATCTGTTTCGATATCATGTACGAGAGCCCGGGGCTGCGGAACGTGATGGCTCGGGGAGTGAGAGACGTCGCTATGAGCACTGCCTGGATTGACGAGCTTCCCTTCCTAACAGGTCAGTGCTAGTGCTACAAGCTCTTGCTACACACACACAAAAGCGCGCACACACACACACACACACACACACACACACACAAACACACACGCACTCACACACACTCACACGCACTCACACACGCACACACACACACACACACACACACACCACACAACACACACACACACACACGCATCACACGACTCACACACGCGCACACACACACACACACGCGCACACAAACACACACCACACACACACACCGCGCGCACGCGCGGCGCGCGACGCGCACACGCGCACACACGGCACGCACACACGCACAGCACACCACGCATACACACGACACACGCACGCACGCCACACACACAGCCATTTCTGGAGTATGCAGCAACCGTTTGAATCCAACTATCAAGCACGTCAAGAAATTAGAGAAAGTGCAAAGGTTTGCAACAAGACTAGTTCCAGAGCTAAGGATTTCACGAAGAAAGGTTGAGAGGGAAATCGGCCTGACGACACTGGAGGACAGGAGGGTCAGGGGAGAAATGATAACGACATATAAAATACTGCGCAGAATAGACAAGGTGGACAAAGACGGAGATGTTCCAGAGAAGGGACACAGACACAAGAGGTCACAATTGGAAGTTGAAGACTCAGATGAATCAAAGGGATGTTAGGAAGTATTTCTTCAGTCATAGAGTAGTCAGGCCGTGGAATAACCTAGAAAGTGACGTAGTGGAGGCGGGAACCATACATAGTTTTAAGGCGAGGTATGATAAAGCTCATGGGGCAGGGAGAGAGAGGACCTAGTAGCAGTCAGCGAAGAGGCGGGGCCAGGAGCTATGACTCGACCCCTGCAACCACAAATAGGTGAGTGTAGACACACACACACACACGCACGCACGCACGCACACACGCACACACCCACACACACACACACGCACGCACGCACGCAACTGGGCAACTACCTGAGAAATGGAAGACAGCTAATGTAGTCCCCATATTTAAGAAAGGAGACAGAAACGAGGCACTAAACTACAGACCTGTGTCTCTGACATGTATTGTGTGCAAAGTCATGGAGAAGATTATCAGGAGGAGAGTGGTCGAACACCTGGAAAGGAACAAGATTATAAATGAAAACCAGCATGGGTTCATGGAAGGCAAATCTTGTATCACAAACCTCCTGGAGTTTTATGACAAGGTAACAGAAGTAAGACACGAGAGAGAGGGGGTGGGTAGATTGCGTTTTCCTAGACTGCAGGAAGGCCTTTGACACAGTTCCCACAAGAGATTAGTGCAGAAGCTGGAGGATCAGGCACACGTAAAAGGAAGGGCACTGCAATGGATAAGGGAATACCTGACAGGGAGGCAGCAACGAGTCATGGTACGTGAAGAGGTATCACAGTGGGCGCCTGTTACGAGCGGGGTCCCACAGGAGTCAGTTCTAGGACCAGTGCTATTTTTGATATATGTGAACGACATGATGGAAGGAATAGACTCTGAAGTGTCCCTGTTCGCAGATGACGTGAAGTTGATGAGAAGAATTAAATCGGACGAGGATGAGGCAGGACTCCCAAGAGCCCTGGAGAGGCTGGACATGTGGTCCAGTAACTGGCTTCTCGATTTCAATCCAGCCAAATGCAAAGTCATGAAGATTGGGGGGGGGCAAAGAAGACCGCAGACAGAGTATAGTAGGTGGAAAAAGGGACTACAGACCTCATCAGGAAGAAAGACCTTTGGGGTGACCATAACACCGGCACACACCGGAGGCACACATCAACCAAATAACCCGCTGCAGCATACGGGCGCCTGGCAAACCTGAGAATGGCGTTCCGATACCTTAATAAGGAATCGTTCAAGACACTATACATGTGTATGATGGGGCCCATACTAGTGTAAGCAGCACCAGTCTGGAACCCACACTGGTCAAGCACGTCAAAAAGTTAGAGAAAGTACGAAGGTTTTGCAACAAGGCTAAAGGGGAATGTCGTACGAGGAAAGGTTAAGGGAAATCGGAACTGACGACACTGGAGGACAGAAGGGTCAGGGGAGACATGATAACGACATACAAGATACTGCGGGGAATAGACAAGGTGGACAGAGATAGGATGTTCCAGAGAGGGGACACAGGGACAAGGGGTCACAAACTGGAAGCTGAAGACTCAGACGAGTCACAGGGACGTTAGGAAGTATTTCTTCAGTCATAGAGTTGTCAGCAAGTGGAATAGCCTAGCAAGTGAAGTAGTGGAGGCAGGAACCATACATAGTTTTAAGAAGAGGTATGACAAAGCTCAGGAAGCAGAGAGAGAGAGGATCCAGTAGCGATCAGTGAAGAGGCGGGGCCAGGAGCCGAGTCTCGACCCCTGCAACCACAATTAGGTGAGGTGGGTGAGTACACACGCACACACAAGCACGCACACACAAGCACGCACACGCGCACACACACACACACACACACACGCGCGCGCGCGCGCGCACACACGCACCACAGAGTAGTCAGTAAGTGGAATAGTTTGGGAAGCGATGTAGTGGAGGCAGGATCCATACATAGCTTTAAGCAGAGGTATGATAAAGCTCACGGTTCAGGGAGAGTGACCTAGTAGCGATCAGTGAAGAGGCGGGGCCAGGAGCTCGGACTCGACCCCTGCAACCTCAACTAGGTGAGTGCAACTAGGCGAGTACACACACACACACACAGTCTGTATATGTGTATATCAATAACAACACTTCGAACCCGTGTTGTTTTAGCCTGCCTCATGGTGAGCGAAAATTCCACGACACTAACCCACGGAACCATACAATCATACAAGAATCACGCACCCAGCAAAGTTAGGTGTTGTACCGTGATCCGAGGACATATGATGGTGTCTGCCGCAGAGCTAATTTCATTCTTCTCCCCGTTTGGTGTACTAGCCTCCACAAGCAGTACATATCGTATTGTAACAACGAACGAGTGGTATTTAATCAATAACAACACTTCGACTAACCTGGGGATCGAACCCGTGTTGTTCGATCCCCCGTACATGAAGCTGAAATAGAGTTCTGTATTTTTCGGCTACACACCAAGACCAATGTCTGTGGCATCGTAGTAATAGTATTTGTGATATTTACAGAGGACTATGACAGTGTAGTTCACTCAACGCTCGTACTATTAAAAATTATTGACGTACAACACATGCGCAACAAAAACAAAGACAAAATTAACAAAGCTACAGCATGAACGAAATGCCCAACTTAAATATTCAGTTCATACCTTAAGACTCTTCTGCAAGATCCCTGCAGGCACCACAGTAATTATAAAAACCATGAAGCAGGCAGAAACATCTCAACCATGGGCAGTCACCTCCACGCCACAAGCTGGAAAGGAAAATGGACACCTGTAAATAGATGGCTCTGGGTGAGATGTTTGGGCCCAAGTACCCACGTCCTGCTCAACACTATACAACTTGCTATTAGTCTGTAGGACCCAGTCTGTAGAACATTTGTTTAAGGCAAATGTCTATTACAGAATGGGCTCACTACAGCAGTCTTTGTCCGGCATCTGCCTGTTCATTACCCAGGACACCTATATAGCCGAGGTACCAACAGTACTCCACACTCTTGTGACATGCATGAAAGTATGTACGGAAGAGGACTTCAACATAATGCCGAAATATATAGCACTCGTGTAAGTTGTTTTATTGTCTCCTCGTGGATATATTTATGCAATTGCTAATTCTGTTTTTCCAGCTCCGCAGATCTTCAGTGGATGGAGCTCTGGTCTGGAAGTCAACTTGCTGGTGGCCAACTACCATGACCCCACTACGAGTAAGCTGGGGTCTGGTATCTTCCGGGGAGTGTCCTCGCAAGCTGCCGTCTACACGTATGACCACCACGGAGGCACAACCCTTCTGGTAGCACCTGTCTCTACACTAGGAACGCGATTACGGGTAAACCAACCTAGTACAACGACTAACTCCACTCACTACACGCGTGAGAGTTCCAGTGGGTTTTCTATTGCTGCCGTTGGAACAACCGAGTCTTTTAGTGATCATGACTATGCCTCATACCAGTACCTAAGTACAGACCTGCAGTCTAATAGTTCTGATGCGTCCTTTAAGGAATTCCTTGGTAGTTTCGGTATATCACTAATCCAGCCTAAGTCTCGTGTTTCCGAGGGCGCAACTGAACAAACGAGGGATGAAGACAAGTTATATTTTATAAACGAAAATTTGGAGCGCTATAATCACAGATTTTAGAGGGGTCGAAAGAGGAGGATTTTCAAAACTCGTGCCACAATACATCTATTTTGCACGGTGAAACAGTTTAAAGCAAATCTTACTGACAAGGGTTTTTACGTGTTCTGGCTTACGCGGTGTCGTAGAAAAGGGGGGGCGGATATTTCCCATTTTTCCCCAGGTTGTGCTTTCTTTCCTGTTTTGACCAAAAAACTTCCCAAAGTTGCAGTATTGAAGGGACGATTTCCAGGCTATCATCTTTCCAGCCTTACGAACTGGTCGGGGACGTTCCACACAGAACAGTTTCCCCTTCCGTCTTTACTCAACAGTGACGCTTGGAATGAATCTTTTGGGAGTTAACTCTCCCAGGACCGACGGAAAGGGTGTTCTATTGTCTTGAGCCATTTTATCCCTTTCTGTCTCTCTCTTTGTTTGGACGCTGGTATGAAAAGGGGAAATCCTGAATGTACCCCAAAAATTCTACAAGTTTCGTTTTAAAAATGTTTTGCTTTCCTTTACGCATCCTAAGAATCAGTCAACTTGAAGAAAAAAAATGGTGTTGTGTCACTCGTTTTTCAATGCCTAAAAAAACTAATGTACCCACAACCGGTTTGTGTTAGCTTGCTGTTGCCTTTTGGCATTTAAATTTCAGTAAATCCAAAAGGCAAAAGCGGCTAAACACAAACCCGGTTTTAAACACCCCGGGGTTAAAGCCAATTCGTTCCAAAACAATTCAAGTATTCAAATCATTTCCCACAAAAAAGTTTTCACACTTAGCGAATTTAACTTAGGGAAAATTTTTAAAGCTCATTTGTGTTACACAGAGGAACTTTTCACAATCAAATGAGCGATAAAAAGTTCCCGGTCAACTCTCTTAAAGTTAGTGTCGTAATGCTTTTTTATACCGAGGCGGGGAGTCTATCCATCGTGGTACCTCTAAACTTATTTTTAAAAAAAAATTTAAAATTAGTCATCAAACTAAATTTTTTACTAAATAAATAAATTAGCTAAAATTCGAACTTGAAAAAAGCCCATTTCACTACTATTTGGGAATACAGCGTTTTGTTAAATTTCTTTATATACAAAATGCATCTTCCAAGTGAGGTGTTGATATATTTTTTATTTAAACCTTCAACAATATTTGTATGAGAAACAATGAATAGGGAGTAGTTTCTGTAGCTGGATCAGCAGACAAGCAGACATGCGCGACAGAAGTAGTCATTGTTGTCAGCAATGCAGTTGTTGCTTAAATTACATTTCATCAAGGGCTGAACTCGTGTAGGTCACACTGTTTAAAGTCTATGTGATGGATGCGCAGTATGACCTTCAGAGTTTTAGCACATGTGAATATAAAAATCTCCTCGTCAGAAAGAAATTGCGGCCATGGACAATGGTGTACAAGACGCGCACGTACTAGTGACCACAACAGCAGGACATCAATTTATTCACCACTATTGCGATTACAAAGACAGGGTTGCTGGGTAGCCCTTAACTATTATTATCATTTTATTCACGTGCAATTGCTAAATCCCTAAGTTATACAGCTTGTTTCATCAATTAGATTGGATCTGAGGAAGGGGAGGGCATCTCCAGTTCCTTAGATTTCCTTCACCTGCAACGACCCAGCAGATGAGGCTGCCAGAAATGCTAGCAGAGTTTAAATAGACTTAGATACGCAAATCAGAGAGTCGAGTGATGTTACAAAACACGCGATTTCTAATAAGCATAGAGATCTCATGTGAATACTAGAAAGGACTGCCCTTCTAGCATTCAGCCTGTTACTGGGTTTTCGTAGCAAGTAGTCAGTATCCTGGTCCAATTATCCATTAGAATTCAATATGAATTATTAGTGCTTCAGGATTACAACTGGTAGGCTACTAAGGAAATTAAAATTAATAAGTTTTTTAATAAACAAAATTGTCTAGGAGTATATTATCAGATTAAAATAAATTAATCAATTTAAACAAATTAATAATCACTTCTCTCGAGTACAGTAGTATTGTGCTGATGGCACATATCACATTTATACATCTTAAGTACCGTCTGGTATATTAACATTTAATAATACAATATACAAATAAGTTTGTGTGTAAGTGCTCTAAGTAGTTCGCAATGTCTCACGACTCGACTAGACTTAAACCAGTGACTGACAAAGTCCTCACATAAACTAACTTCTTGACCACCTGGCGATCAGAACAGCTTGCTTGAACAATAAACGACCGCTAAGCCCAATAGCAATATAACAAGCAACTGCGACACAGAATTAGGATCAAGGAGATAATATAACGACACTAAGTAGGGACCATCTGCAGAACCTCCACAAAAGTCACAAAACTTCCATACTACTGAATCTAAGTTCAGCATAAGAAAATCCCCGACTGTGACAGTACTCACATACCAGTACAAATTAGGTCAGAAGCTACAGCTCAGGACCTGAGTTGCTCAGAGTGTCTATGCAACACACAACCTCGGTACAACGTCGAAAATCACTAAGTCTAGACAATGTTCTGTGAACAAAGTTCCACAGAACCTACAACAATAAAGCGACAGACGATCTTCCAAAAAGGGCCAATAAGGGAGAGTTAGGCACGTCTTGTCAGGAATACGTCCAACCACCAAGAGAGTCTAGCCCAGACTGACTACTCCAGGCGAGGTGTGAACACCCCAACCCCATCTCGATCATGTGATTGCTCCATGGACAGTTGCTGCCCAGCACCACCGAGAAGCCGGCAGAGTAACGAGTCACGAGTGATAATTACTGTAGTTAGACAATCAAGACTTGAACTATGAGCACATAATATATGAATGTTACATCCTAACAATATAACTAACTCAATAATATAAAGCAATGGGAGCGATGGGCTAGTAACCCCTTCTTTTGTAGACATTTGCTAAAAAAGAGAAGAAGAAAAACTTTATAAAACTCTGATGCTTGAATGTGCGTGGATGTAGTGCGAATGACAAGATACAGATGATTACTGATGTTATGAATGAAAAGAAGTTGGATGTCCTGGCCCTAACCGAAACAAAGCTGAAGCGGGTAGGGGAGTTTCGGTGGGGGGAAATAAATTGGATTAAATCTGGAGTATCTCAGAGAGTTAGAGCTAAGGAAGGGGTAGCAGTAATGTTGAAGGATCAGTTATGGAAGGAGAAAAGAGAATATGAATGTGTAAATTCAAGAATTATGTGGATTAAAGTAAAGGTTGGATGCGAAAAGTGGGTCATAATAAGCGTGTATGCACCTATAAAAGAGAGGAATGTAGAGGAGAGAGAGAGAGATTTTGGGAGATGTTAAGTGAATGTATAGGAACCTTTGAACCAAGTGAGAGAGTAATTGTGGCAGGGGACCTGAATGTTAAAGTAGCAGAAACTTTTAGAGAGGGTGTGGTAGGTAAGTTTGGGGTGCCAGGTGTAAATGATAATGGGAGCCCTTTGATTGAACTTTGTATAGAAAGGGGTTTAGTTATAGGTAATACATATTTTAAGAAAAAGAGGTAAAATAGTATACAAGATATGATGTAGGGCGAAATGACAGTAGTTTGTTGGATTATGTATTGGTAGATAAAAGACTGTTGAGTAGACTTCAGGATGTACATGTTTATAGAGGGGCCACAGATATATCAGATCACTTCTTAGTTGTAGCTACACTGAGTGTAAAAGGTAGATGGGATACAAGGAGAATAGAAGCATCAGTGAAGAGAGAGGTGAAGGTTTATAAACTAAAAGAGGAGGCAGTTAGGGTAAGATATAAACAACTATTGGAGGATAGATGGGCTAATGAGAGCATAGGCAATGAGGTCGAAGAGGTATGGGGTAGGTTTAAAAATGTAGTGTTAGAGTGTTCAGCAGAAGTTTGTGGTTACAGGAAAGTGAGTGCGAGAGGGAAGAGGAGCGATTGGTGGAATGATGATGTAAAAGAGTAGTAGGGAGAAAAAGTTAGCATTA